ATTTATTTGATTTATTAATAAATATTTCTTCCGCATATTTAAGTTTTTGTTTTAGAGTTGGCACTTTCTTCTCTCTTCTTTGAAAATCAGTTGTTTATGACGTAATACTATAGCACGTGACCAACTTTTGACAACAAAAAAATGGTGCAAGACTACTGGGCCCGTACGACTATAAGACCCTCGACCATAATGATAATGTTCGAATGTTTATATACAAGCTTAATGGCAACCTTAACGTTGTCCACAATTACTATAATTTACTTCATTCTTAATATTGTTTTCTACCTCAGCCTGTGATGAGCCAGAAATATTTGATAATTACAGTGTGTATATCATTTTCTTCAATTTTGTATTTATAAAGTATGAGTAAAAGATATAAACACAAAATAATATACAACATTGATGAAATAACAATGGACAGTTCATACAATCTCGTTATTAAAATATGCAACAAAATATTTTTTTTTTATTTTTTTTTAAATTAGTATCCTTCATCTTTAACCAAATTCATAATTTGGTAGTCACTTTTTATGTTTATTAGAAATTGACATGCAAATTTTGGTTTTGGTTAAAGGTGGTTAAATTTGAGACGTGTTGAAATGTCACATATCCTTTCATTTTTTTTAATTAATAATAAAATTTGATAAAAATTACTAAGATTCTGTTGTATTTGACAAATTTCCACGACTAAAGCTAAGTTTAACACCACCATTTGGCATGCCAACAGAGAGAATGTGCAATAATTTTTGGCATCTGCAATATTTAGTCGCTGAGACAACTGTAACGGAAATTTGGTACAGAAAGACGCAAGGTTTAAGTGAAGGTTGTCTTGATATGGGATTCAAAAATGATTCCTATGATTCAACATGCGCAAAGACAGATTGTGTTCAATTTTTGAAGCAACTGTATTAAGTACATGCTTAGAAAACTAACACAGAACTTTAGAAAGAACAGACGCACGGATAAACAGAAAGTTGATGTCAGATTTGCACAATAATTAAACACACATCAATGATATGCTTACATAATATTCATAAACATAATGTGCATGATGTTTTTAGTCAGAAAATTTACCCCTCCATGCATAATAAGCCTATCGCAATGAACACGCAATGTCATTTCCTATTTAAATTAAAACAGGTGTCCCAGTTTAAACCAGAGATAATATTCGCTATGCATGAACAAGGAATGTTTTACCCGATTTTTTAAAGTGCATTCGTACCAAGATTATGCACATGGATATTTGCGTGTAACTATAATTGTATTATTATATGGAAAAAATATTTAAATGTTGGATAAGAATATTCCACACTCTTATATGTGACATTTTGCATTTTGATTAGACAAACAAAAATTACATTTAACTCTAAAACTTTATTGTTTATGTGGATACTGGAAATTTACTTCCGGAATAACATAACAGTCAAAACATAAAACTTGAATTCTATCAAGGTAAGTTGTCCCGTTTATCTATATATGATTTATTTAGTGGTGAAAGGGAATGAAAGCTTTTTAAAATTTCCTTATCGGCTATGCCATTATTAAAAAATATACATATATAAACATTATCACTTGTATTTTATTTCGTGAGGTTAAATTTATATCTGAATAATGCTGTGATCAATCTATTTTTAGTAACCACGGCAACACTATCGAAATCAAAAACCGATAAAAAGAATTATGTATCTTAACTTGTGTGCAAGTTATATTGAAATAAGATTAAAACTGTAGGAGGAGTAGCATTTTGAAAGAATTTCACAGAAATTTTTAGCAAACATAGTCTACTTGTGTAAATATGTAAAAAGTTGATTCAGGGTATAAAGCAAGCAACTAAATCTTATGTTATCGGCGTATCACTTGTTTAAATTTATATCTGAATAAGGAAAATGATTTATTTTTAGCAAAATTGTAAAAATAAATAAATAAACATCGTATTTAAATTTGTAGGAAAATTATGTAGAAAATAAACAGTCTCAACATTTCATGTACACTTTTCAAAGAAATAAGAACCTTATGCGGTATATTGCATATTTTGCACCCCCCCCCCCCCCGGAAAGTCATATTTTGAAAATTTCTTGAAATATGCTAAATTGTATATATTGTTTTAGAAATCTAAATTAACAAAAATTATTATATTTTCAAAGTAGATTATTGAAAATCTTTGTTTTATGACGTGACAAACGAATCGGATTTTGAATAAATTTTCAGAAAAACGTCTGTCAGTGTGATTTAAATGTACGGATTTGTTGAAGCGTACATTTTTTCCAGAAATGTTTGATTTTCATATAGAATGCGTTCAGATTCCATTTTTTGGACAAATGAAATAGATTTCAGATTTACGTTTCCGTCATTTAAGCATTAAGGAAGAATTGAGAACGACCCATTCGTGTTGAAAATTCCTTTTTATAGCTCTAATAAAAACCCATTTTCCACTTAATATGCTTAACTGTCAACTTTAAAGAAAAGGTTATCAAATGATAAGTCGTTCAGTAAAATAAAATAATCAAAAAGAATTTTAAGATTGCATTACTTAGAACATGATTTTAGAAAAAAAAAATTCTGTGAATTTTGAAAATTGAGAAACATTTTGTCTCAGAGCGGGGTATTGTCCACGCCTTGTACACCCTCTTTCTATTTCTATAATACATAAATATGTTTGACTTCTTTATGGTTGCCAAAAATATGTACCATATATCATAGTCGAATATTATTTGAAAATATTTTCAAAAAGTGTTTTTAACATTCACATTGGAAATTGGCCTGAAAAGAAAGAGATTTGTGACTTAATGTAATTTAATTATGTAGTCACATTAGTTTAGAAATAAATAAAAGAAGAAAAAAGTGATTTTTTTGTCAGGATATACAACACAATATTTATCTTTTATGACTTGATGGATATTTTGCAGGGAATGTTTTGGTGAAGGAAAAAGTCTTCTATCCTTATAACTTATTTTTTATTACTTATTTCTTTCCAAAAGTAAAATTGAATATACTGATACAATGAACTTGTCAGCAAACAGAATTTATCATTTAAGTCATATGCTGCCTGACATTTTTTCATACAAATTGTTGAGCCATTATTTACAATTGAATTGTCGCCAAATTTTCCGCTGTTTCTCGATCATGACAAGGAACACATGGCGGGTGTAACCGGTCGGTAGGGGATGCTCACTCCTCCAAGGTATGTGATCCAAACCTCTGATGTTTCAGAGATCGGTTTTTGCTCTGCTCCAAATTCTTATTGTTAAATGGACTTTTGAGCTTGAATACTGTTCCTTGCCTCTTTATGTTTCATCAAAAGAACATTTCATTTTAATCCCAAAATAGAAAGTTTAAAAAAGAAAATTTAGGAATCTACCACATATGTACATGTATCATCATCTCTTACATATGAAAAAGAAACCTTTAAAAATAATTAAAGAAGGCAAATCTTTACGTTTTTAGAATACCATGATTGATAAAGAAAGGTGTCATGTTAACAAAGGATCGGACATTAGGTTCTACAAGGTATTAGTTTTATTGTCGTTTTAGCCAAAGATGAACAACAAAATTTAAATCGAAATGATATGATATACATGTAATTAAAAATTCATACCCTGTTATCAATTTATCTTATGTATTTAAACAAAATTGATTTTCAAGGCAGAATGATTTATCTGATCACCATTTGGATTTTCCTGATAACCACATATTCTTCGGCGTTCAGTAAGTAAAATTACTTAAAATTCAATTCTCTCTCTCTCTCTCTCTCTCTCTCATTACCTATTTGCCATGCATTAAGTTTTTTTAAATCCAGATGTTTTTCCTTCATCTTCATTTATATTTACAATAAAAACAAGACGTGAAGCAGCTTAATTTGAACTTGTTCAAACGTTTACTCCAAATGTTTCCTCTCTCCTTAAGAAAATTTAGCTCTTAATAAACCGGCATGGCAAAGGACTACTTGGCCTAGTAAGCCTATATTGTGGGGAGCAGCCAAAGCTGTGGATGGATTATATACTAATCGTTCAGCTGATGGAAACCAGTGCTCAATAGCGGGCGGTAACCAATTCACAGCAGAGTGGAGAGTGGACCTAGACAGTGTGGTCAGCATAAGCCATATCAACATCTTCTACAGGACGGATAACCTTCAAAGTATGTGAACAATAGTATATAACTTCATATAGATTTTAAAGATATGTCTAGCTTTCATCATATTATACCCAAGTGTGAATACTTGCAGAATTTTCTTAGGTTATTTATATGCATGTATAAAAGAAACAAGTCTTGTTTGTATGTCTTTTGAATTTCCCAAGAAAGGCGATATAACGTAATGTGAAAAATCCTATGTATCGCGTAAAGAGACAACTCATCCACAGTATGAAAAGTTGATCATTGGAAAGATATCATGATTAAAACCAATTTATATGAACTGTTTGTAAACCTTTAAAAAAAATATACATTGTTCATTTACCAGCGCCCTTTACATACCTAGTGTGGACAGGATATTATCTTTATTCTTCTTTTGAGTTTGACGTACGTGCAGTTTGGACAAACCTGAATCGTTTAAATTGTACTTACAAAAAGCACGAAATGATTATCGAAAAATTCTTAAATTCTTATCACAATGTTTGATAAAAATTAGTCAGAAAAGGGGAAAAAAAGAACATAAGAAAACGAAAGTGTGTTGAGCAACACTTTTGTATGAATATAGAGTACCCGGTACATGTGGTAAAAAAAGCTATGCCAAGAATCAAAAACACAATCCGACAAGTCTTTATGTTTTTTAATATTCTTTTAAAAGGATAGTAGTAGTTAGATTATGAATAAGAATACAAATAACGTAACCATTACTTCATATAGACAACATAAATTCGTGTTGTGTTCGTGCTTTATAGCTCAATCGCCTTACACCACTAGATTTCCTTGCTTTTTCTAATAAATTTAGAATAAGTCCGAAACAGTTGTTATTTTTGTCTCCTTGCGATTCAAACAGTTTATTACATTTATATTCATCTCAGGTCCTGGGCCTTACTATCATCGCTTTGCTGGATATTTTGTGTACGTTTCAAACACTACCCAAAGAGAGGATGGCTATCTTTGTTTCCATGAAATACAACAAGTAGACAGAACACCGACTGAGAATCAGACTATTAGTTGCCCTGTACATGGACGTTACGTCATATTCTACAATGAACGTAGACAGGATGTGACGTATCCTAGTTTTTATTCTCAGTATGTCTATAATGAATTATGCGAGGTGGAGGTTTACGGTAAGTAAAGTAAAGAATAATAAGTTTGCTCAGATATTTATATCTGCAATCATTTATTTTTTAGGGAAAACAGAATAATATTCACCGGTACATGTATCTGTGTATATCATATTATTATTTATCATACCTCTACTTCTATTACTTTATATAAAATAAATACCATAAAACTGTCTTTTTCCCCGAGAAGAGACTATTTCCCTCATCTGAAGAGAACTCCCTGGAAAATCAGAGCTACTCCCTGGGACTATTCCCTTATGAATATTTATTAGTAATTTTAACCAATCAAAGTGTTCAGTGTGCGGAACGTTTAAAGAATCTCGAATCTGTGACGTCATGTTAAAAGCAATGTAACTATGACCTCAAAACATTTCGACATGCTATGTCAAAATCATACTTGAATTCTAGCAAAATGAAGACAACCATAATTCTTCGGAATGTCAATAAAAATTCTTTTGAAAAATAGTTTAATTGTTTTAGGACACGATGCATTGCTTATCATACAATCTGTTAAACCTCATGCATTTGTAATTATGCCTCAACAGTGTTTTTTTATGTAGGAATATCTGGTTAAAACAATTAAATCGCCTATGATTATTTCGGTATAGTAAAACAATTATAGAATGTGAACTCGAGAAATAGCATATTTATGGTTCCCCTCGGCAGGAAACTTCCTCCCTCTGGGAACCATAAATTTTCGATTTCCACATGATATGCATTGCCTATATAAGGATGCCCTGTCCAAAGATATTATGGGGAGAATTGTGACCTACCATGTCCAGAAAATTGTCAGGAACAGAGATGTTCCATCACTACAGGAGAATGCCTAGGCTGTGTACCGGGATATAAAGGTCCTAGATGTAGTCAAGGTATTACAACTTTCCTATCTGTAATTAGGGTTTTTACATTTTATGTTTAGTTTCATTGTTTTAAGTTTCATATTAACATTTTGGTTTTGATGATATATAAGAATTAATTTTTAAAAAAATATCTTCAATGTTTTGGAAACGAAGATATTTTCTTACCTCGTTCAGCTACCATTCAAACCGAAAAAAATAGTGTTTAAGCGGACCGACTATAGCTTCCATTACGCAATATTTCGCGCATCATTTAAGAAATAAACAACGTTGGCGTTATAAATAGCAATTGCTCTGCTGGCATATTCCATGATGCGCGCTAGCGCATCATTGAAAATATGACAGCAGAGCTATTGCTATTCATAATGCCATGTTCACTGAATAATCGTTGTGTATTACTTATATTTGCATTCTTTCATTTTTTCAAGAATATCAGAGGAAATCCTGACTAACATAAGGACGCGGCTTCTTGTCTTCAGTAATGAAAAACATACGGCTTTAAAATCAGTACACCTGATCAATGATCCTTTTCTCTAATAAATTACAAACAATTTATAAAGTATTTCCCTCTCAAACACAGTTATTTGAATACAAGCAGCGCCATCATCACATTCTCTTAATTTTTGTTTTGATGCAGTTGTGATAGTAATCGATCAACGTTATTGAAACCCTCTGACAAAAGTCAATAATTTAACAATTGATGAAAAATGAGTATGTTTTTTATAATGATTCAATATACTGGCACACAATGCTTTAAGATGATTTTTTTAACTTTTTTATTTACGGTTTTTTTTATTTAATAGCTGAAAAATTCTTTCAAAAGATAAATTCTCTCTTTTGAGTGATTTCAATATAACTTGGCACAAGTGTGAATAATTCTGTTATCGTTTTTGATACAAATCTGATGATATGAAAAAATAAAAATTGTGAAATTGTTCTCATAATTTTTAAAAAGTTTTATTATACAATTAAATACATTGACCAAAATTGAATTTTAAAAGATATAAATCCGCTATTTTAATTTTTCTGAATTTTTTTTTTTTTTTAAATTATTAAAAACGTATTTATTCCTTTTATGAAACATTTCATATATATACGTTATTAAAACACGTTTTACTTGTGAATCTCTTGTTTAGCATATTTTGTAGTACGTATAGGGATAGTAAAATTGCACTCATATCGGGAGCATTTTTATAGGCTCTGTGAATGCAGTTGATGACCACATGTTCATAGTGGGAGAGAGCATTGGATCTGCAAACATAGTAAAACGAAGCGTATTTATTGTTTTAATGCAACTGTTTTCGCATAATTATTAAAATTAAACAAAATTAAGAAATTATAGGTTAAAAAAAATGTAATTACAATTTAATTTTACTGATTATTAAACCGATTTTGCAATAGATAGGTAGGTTGACGTCGATGCAGTGTATTTTTGACGTAATGGTAATATGAAGCTCTGAAAGAAAGGGGTAATAAAAATATTATTACAGAAAAAGTAATAAACATACGCTCTTGATATTTAAAACATACAAAATTTAGAATATCTCCAATATTTTTATTGTTTTCTTGTGAATCCATTGTTTACGTCATATTTTGTAGTACTGTATATTAATAGTAAAATTTGAACATTAATCTTTTGCATTTTAAAATGAAAACCCTCTCTTGAAAAAATTTCAATTTAGAATTTTGTGTTTCTTACATATATTGTATCATATAGTATTACTCATAAAATATTATAGTTTGAACAAAATGCCTATTGTAGTATTTGTATTATTTGCTTTAAAGTGCTAAAAATTGGTATTTTCATATATAACCCTATAGAAATGTAGCTGTATTTTGAGACGGTCCCTTAAAAATACCTGGACGGTAGATTTTCCCCAAACTTTGCATGTACACTGAAATTAATGTAAGTTACATAGGGTATAAAAATGAAGAGTTTTGCTATTGTAGTTCTCACACAATAAAACTATAGTCGGCCCCTTAAAATATCTTAAACAATTGATTCTTTAAAATAAAAAGTTGGAATTTTATTTAAATGAAATTAATCATCAACAAAACTACGTGTAAAAATTCATACTTATTATTCACGAAAGTACTCAGAAATTCATATGAAAGAAATGCACAAGTTTTCCATTGACAATATTTATGAAGTTTTCGGTGACGAGGTCCTACAACAATTAAAGGACCGAATTATAATTCATTCCATATAAAACAAACGCATCAGTATAGTAACCAAGAAAAAAAAACTTTAACAAGCATAAACAATTATTTTACCTTTATTTACCAATCGTTTTTTCTGAATTTAAAGATTTTTTTTTAATAAATGAGGCTTTTAACTTAAAAGGGAAGGAAAGGCAATTGTGTAAATGTAAAATTACATAGTTTGTATGAAGTTACATGTTTGTGCTGTGAAAATAAATGCTGGTATTTTTTTACCTTGTAGTCATAAATGACATTTTTTTTTGCATTCATACTCCAAAAAAAAAAAACAAGGAAAATAATTTCATAATATTTAAAACAACACAATGATTGAATTTCAATTTTTTTTTTGGAATAAGCTTAAACAAATTTGTATCAAACAATACCATTGCAGTAGGTTGAATAAAAAAATAACGAACCAAACATAGTAGTTCTTTTATTACTTCGAGGTACAAAAATGGAATAATAAACATTGAAGTGGTACTACATTTGTAAATAGACTTTTTATAAATCAGTTTAATCTCATTTCAGCGTGCAAAATGTAAATACGATGATATAGATGTGGTACTACATTTGTAAATAGACGTTTTGTAAACCAGTTTAATCTCATTTCAGCCTGCGAAAAGGAAACATATGGACTGGAGTGTTTATCCTTGTGTGGAAATTGTAGTGACTCAGGGGAATGTGACAATGTTAATGGCACGTGTCTCAATGGTTGTAAAGAGGGAGCACAAGGGGACAAATGTCAGACACGTGAGCATATTGTAATATGAAAGATTTCCTGTCTTGTGATTATATTTTTAATCATAATAATTATGTCACATATTCAGATCAATAAATTATCAAGTCATCTAGTTTCACCATTTGCACCGTTATTTACTCAAATTTCTTTGAAGGGATTTATTGTAAACTTAAACTTAAACTAAAACTTAAAGGTTTATGTTAAAGAAATTATTTTAAAAAATCTTTTCTACTAAATGAACTGATAAAGATCAACTGACATCAGAAATAGATGATGAAATTTTTACAGTGAAGGTCGTGGTGTTGAATTGTGGATTTCTTTTGAGATTTATTGTCTCTTATGATCAGAAACAAATCATTGCACATTTTTTACATGAAAATATTTTAAAGAGACTTCAAGTTGGTTTAAATTCTTCACGCCAACGTCTCAAAATTGTAAAAAAAAAAAAAAAGTCTTCACTTCATTCTTCATAATTTCGGCAATGAAAGATGTACAGGTGTATGTTCATGTGAAAATGTTTACACGAATTGCTTAATAAAAACAGAATGTCAATTGGGACGTTTTGGAGAGAGTTGCCTACAGAACTGCAGTAGTCATTGTTATGTGTCAAGCCATTGCAACAGGTTTAATGGTGAATGTTTAGGAGGTTGTGATCATGGATGGAAAAATCTCGATTGTAAGCAAGGTAAAAGGCCTCATATTCAAGACATTGTCAAATACAGGATTTTTGTTATGGTTATATTTGAACGTCAATTTGATGCTTTCAATAATAAAGATATACAGATGTATGAAAACTGGTTTTGCAAAATTTGTAAAATAATTCTGAAATACAAAAATTAGAAAAACTAAAATTATCGAATGTATATATCAAATACGATTATTGTTAAGTGTGTCGATCACATTTAGGTAATGTACCATTCAGAGAAAGAAGACAAATTTAATTTATTTTAACTTTGTAAAATTCTTCTGATGAACAGACAGAATTTATTTTAACACATCTATGAATTAATATTTTGTTTAAGAATGTGACGATGGAAAGTTTGGATATAACTGCAATCAAAGCTGTGGGCGTTGTTCTGATGGGTTACAGTGTGACAAAATTAATGGAACGTGTTTAAATGGTTGTTCTCCCGGATTCAGTGGAAATCTCTGTGACATAGGTAATTTATTAGGTTATTTTAAGATATTTTTTACAAAGGTACAAGAAATGTATATTTTCATGCGCATGATATTTGAAAGTTTTTTTTATCTCTATTGTTATGTCATATATGCATTATTTCAGTCGAATTAACAAAAATCATAATGTACTACTAATGTTACTAATGATAGAAGATGGCCAGCAAGCAGATATTTTATTTTGTTTTGCTATTGCCAAAGCCACTATCTTTCATATCTACAAAAGGAAACGAAACTGTACTATCTGTTTTTGTTACAAGTTTATTCATTTTAAATTATAGAGTCTGGACTTTGGCTAAAGCAAAGGACAACAACTATAGAAAAAATTATTTTACAAAATTCATAAACAATATTTTACAGTATGCCCTCCTGGATTCTTTGGAACTCACTGTCTAGGAGTTGTATGACTTACTGTGGAGGAAACAGAACATGTGACCCCATTACTGGTGTGTGTGATAATGGATGCATAGAAGGACTCAATGGAGCTCTATGTAATGAAGGTATATGTCGGATTGTAGGAGAATTATACGCATATATATTTTTTTAATTGCTTAACAAATGTCTTAAACATAGTCTTAAAAACAGAAAATCAACATTGCAATTGTCCAAAAAGTGTATTTGAAGTGAAGAAATGTAACTGACTTAATATTTTAAAATGACCAAATTAAAACAAAATCGGTTAGATGAGCTCTCGTTCCTTTGGTTCCTTTCCTAAAATTGAAATTAAATATATTTATCTAATATTATGATGCTGATTATATGTTTCTTATAGGGAAATTTCACTCTAACCCATACATATCTATAGATTTTTATCATTTAAATGAAGAACAATACCTTGTTTTCAGGTGTTTTAGCTTTAGTTTGTCAGTTGTTCAGTTCAGTTCTTATTTTGCATTTGCTCACATAACGCATAAAAGGAGAAAAATATTCCAATGAATATATTGATGTCTATAAGGAATTAAAATTTCAAACTCTGATGAAAAACATACATTTCAGAAAAGCCAATCTCCAATCTTCCTACATGTAACAGTGACAAAGCCAGTATCATTATTGGAGTTATAATCTCTGTTGTCATTGTTTTCATCGGAAGTTTAATCAATTTCATACTGTGGAAGAGGAATCAAAGTAAGAACAAATATTAAAGGATTAATTTGTGAAGTTCATTGGCTCATTGATATATAATTATTGCTTAACGCCGAGTCGGCAACACTTCAGCTATATTTTGCCAATAGGATAAAATGACTTTTTTTCTAACATAAAACATCTGAATTTATACCATTTTCTTTTTTTAAAAAACATACTTTTGAAATAATGTCTTTTAAAATTTAATATTCCTCATAGTTTTTTTTTTTGGTCAATTCTACTTTTTTTTGCTTTATGCATTTCTCAAATTTTTTCCTGGTTAAATTAATTTAACTTTTTTTTTTTAATTTCAGCAATTAGTGCAGTGAAGAGGTGAGATTCGAAGCTTTTTGGAAATGGTGATATTATATATATTCTGGCACCTGATCCCACGTTCGGAATTTTTCAGAGAACTAGATATAAGTCCCGAGCAAAATTATAATTAATTCAAAAAGACCAAAATTTAATCTTCAGCTGTTATTGCGAAATACATTAGACATTTTTTAAAATGGAAATGTTTCACATTTATAAACAATAGTGATATACTTTCTTCTTTAGAAATTTAAAATCTAAAGCTGATCAAAAGAATGTTGACTTCACAGGTAAGGATATGCTATATTACATCGTTTACATTTGAGCAAATGGCATGAAAATGAAAGTGCTCAAAAGCTTAGAAAAACGAGGTTTTCATCTTTTAAATTAAAATTTATTATTTAATTTGTTTAAACATCATAGAATCCTTCAGTTGTAAACATTCTTTAATATATATAATTTTTTTTTCTACTTCGAGGGTTAGAGTACTTATTTCCCATCCTTTACAGCTGTATATGTATTGAAATTCCAATCAAATTACAATTTCTTATGTTGATCAAACATTGGTCGAAAGATATGGAATTTTCTTTCACTTTATATAAGACCTTATATTACCAATTGTTCATTACTACATTGGTCTCAGTCTGCATCATTTCACTGGGTTTGGGTCCATTTTTTGTTTCTTTTACGAAGATTGTTCAATAAATAATGTCCTCGGTGCTCAGAAAGAAGAAAAAGACGCTTTTCAATGATTTAGTCTTCATGATTTTACTAATTAATCTCTTTTAAGTAAAATACATGTCCGTAACATTTTTTATCCAATTTCTAATTGTTTTTAGAACTAATGTTTGGGTATGACCCTTAGTTTACCGGAAAATGTCAGATCCAATGATTTCCCAGACTTGTTTCTTCCCTCTGAAAGATGTTTTTTTTTCAAGTTTGGAAATAGAAACAAGTCAAAAGGTTAAAGATCTGGCGAATATTGTTAATGTGAAAAAACATTAACTTTCTGTTCATCCCGAAAACCCCTTTACTCTTCAGGGCATGCGGGTTTGGACGCTGTCTTGAAGAAATTTAATGTAGTGGATTCCTGATTCTGGGTCCTTTCTCTAATAAACCTTTTGATTTTTTTGCAAAGAAATTGCTCTTGTCAGACATTCGCCGTTTTTATCAAGTACATCTTATGGTAAATTTTGTTTTGAGGGTTCTAACCAATAGATTCATGTTCCAATATCTGTTTGAAAATAAAACAAACGTGAGTAACTAAAATTACTGATATTTTAAAATAATTGTTAAGAATTTCGTATACACTGTCGTTTTCACTCATTTTTCAAAATATAGGGTGACCTTTGAGTACCAAGCTTTTTTACCGTCAAACGTTTCTTAAAAACAGTGTAAACTACTCCCGATATAATGTCTATCAAATTTGCTATGTGTCGTAAAGTCAATCATACATCATCAAATATTATTTGTTGAAATTTGGCAACCAGTACATAAGTTGTTATAATTTTTGTTGGCAAGGAGGGTACCCATTTTTGATACCCATTATATAATTTTTTATCATTGAAATCCACCTGATCTTTTGTCTATAAAACAGGCATTGGTTGCTGTAAATGTCATATATTTCAGTGAATATTTCTTTGGGATTTTTAACAAGTTTTACGGCAGCCATAATGAAGCTTTTATTTTCACTCTAGTTTTCTGATTCTTTACCATTCTTTTATAATGCAGTGTCTCGAAAAGCCCTTGTTTCCCAACTTCTCACGATGAAACTATGTGATGAAAAATGGTCACATAAACTGTTATAAATTCATGAAAGATTCAATAATGAGAGAAAGCCAAGTTTAATGCCATATGATATCTGTAATGTATGTTTTACAGTTCAGGACATTATTTATTGAACAGCCCTCGTATATACGTCATTAAAGTTGTACGAGGGTCATTCAAAAAATGCGTAGACAATGTTCCTCATCGTCATATAATTATTATAAGATTATAGATCAACACATTTTCTTAAAATAAAATATGTATTTTGTCGAAGTGTGAAGTTTCATTCCATTTGATTAAATTAAAATCATGCTAGCCAATTTTTAAGGACAGATGATACAAACAATATTTTTCTTTGAAAGAGACTTAATATCATGTCACAAGTTTAAAAAAAAGTGGATAATCCTTAGAGTTTTTTCTCCAAATAACTGGAAAATGAAATAGACTTGGAAAATATTACTATTATTTCAGTAGAAAAAAACAAATATAGACAAATCACACTAGGAAAAGGTTTATAGGTGAAAACAAATTTTAGAATATGTTATCTCGGTGCTAAAAGTGTAATATAAACCTTAGAAAAATATACCAAGCCAGGTGAATTTTACGAGGAATAACAAAATGACAAGAATTCAGCAATATCATATAGGCTACTTTTTACCATTTTGCTTTTTCTGATAATATTCACCTGGCTTGGTATACTTTTCCAAAGTTTATATTACACTTTTAGCACCAAGATAAGATATTCTGAAATTTGTTTTCACCTGTAAACCTTTATTGAGTGTGTTTTGTCCATATTTGTAATTTTATTGAAATATTACTAATATCTTAATATTTGGAGAAAGAATTCTAAGGATCATCCACTTTTCTATACTTGTTACATGATATTAAGTCTCCTCCAGAGAAAAAAAATATTTTTGTATCATCAGTCCTTAAAACAACATGTTTTGTTACCAGGGAGCACGGTTAACAAACACTGCAATGTCAAAAACAAAGTCGAGAAAGTTTCTCAAAATTACTCTGGTTTTTAATTTCATACACAGTTTGTAGCCACTTGTCCATTCATACAAATGTACCCATAACACTAAACACCTAGTTTGCTTACAATTGTGCAAATAGCTTGAACTAGATTGTCATTGTTTTCAAATTCCTTACGCCTACCGTTGAACTCGATTAGTTCCGCAACCGTGAAGTGCCCATCACGTTTCATGACGTACCTACAATGTAACTCTTTTGACAAGATTTTTAACTATAATCTGTTTCTTTTAAGATTTTTCATCGTGTTATTTAAACTTGCTACCACTGAAAAATTGCATTTTCCACTTTATACATATACACAACCTATTTTTCATACATATCCTGGTTTATACAGATTTTTTAAAGTTTGTTAAAGGCCGAGGTTTTCAACCGTACGGTTTTCCTCAGGTAAGTTTGGTGTGGGGTGGAGCTTAATCGAAGCGGCTGAGAAGCCCCGAGGGAACGACAATGGCTTGTGTATACTACCTATAAACACATGATGTTACCTGAGCCCCTAAGTGTATTACCTGTATGCGTTTTCCTACGACTTTGTAAGCCGAGGCCGTTTTTTTCATGTTTAGCTCATGGATTGAAATGCGAAATAAAGCATTTTTGTTCCAGACAGAATCCTTCTCAATTTCTTTCTTTTAAAATAATTGATATTTTTAATAATTCGACATTTTTTATATACAGTGCGTTTCTTAATGAAGCGTTACAACGAAAATACATTTAGAACCAAAATCTGTCGTTGTAATCTGGCGACAAAAAGGGAAGTAATTCAAATTACACGTCGACTACGCAAAACGAAAGAAGAAAGTGAATCATAAAACAGTCTCTCGGTAAATAACAATGAAACTTAGAAACGATGTTTTGAGAATAGAATGTTGAAATAGAAATATTATTTCTAAGTAAATATCTTTTTAAGATAAACCCTACTTGATTTTTAGCTCTACTGGTCAGAGACCAGAAGAGCTTATGCGATAGTAATGCGTCCGGCGTCCGTCCGTCTGTCTGTCTGTCTGTCTGTAAACAATTTTTCAAAATGCTACTCCTCCTACAGTTTTGGTTTGATTTCAATATAACTTGGCACACAAATAGACTACACTAAGATACATAATTCTGTGTATCGGTTTTTAATTTCAATGAACAGTGCTGCCGTGGTAACTAAAAATAGAAATTTCTGTAAAATTCTTTCAAAATGCTACTCCTCCTACAGTTTTGGTCTGATTTCAGTATAACTTGGCACACAAGTAGACTACACTAAGATACGTAATTCTGTGTATCGATTTTTGATTTCGATGAAAGGTGTTGCCATGGTTACTAAAAATAAAAATTTTTGTGAAATTTTTTCAAAATGCTACTCCTCCTACAGTTTTGGTCTGATTTCAATATAACTTGGCGCACAAGTAGACTACACTAAGATACATAATTCTTTGTATCAGTTTTTGATTTCGATGAACGGTTTGCCGTGGTTACGAAAAATAGACATTTCTGTAAAATTCTTTCAAAATGCTACTCCTCCTACAGTTTTGGCCTGATTTCAATTTAACTTGGCACACAAGTAGACTACACTAAGATACATAATTCTGTGTATCAGTTTTTAATTTCGATGAAAGGTGTTGCCATGGTTACTAAAAATAGAAATTTCTGTAAATTTTTTTTCAAAATGCTATTCCTCCTACAGTTTTGGTCTGATTTCATATAACTTGGCACAAAAGTCGACTACACTAAGAAACATAATACTGTGTTTCGGTTTTTGATTTCAATGAACGGTGTTGCCGTGGTTACTAAAAATTAAATATTTGTGTAAAATTCTTTCAAAATGCTACTCCTCCTACATTTTTGGCCTGATTTCAATTTAACTTGGCACACAAGTAGACTACACTAAGATACGTAATTCTGTGTATCGG